AAATGCTGGTTGTGTAAACCCAGGGTCTGCTTGAACTTTGCCATACCATCTCCTGATCTGTGATTGGCTAGGAAGAGCAATATTGAAGGTCTTTCTCAAAAACTCGTATGCCTTAGCAGAATAAAACTGCAGAGTGAGTGCAAAGGACTTCATTTCTGGTGTGTATTTGGATCTTTTTCCTGACTTTTTTGCTGAAACTCTTTTCATCAATGCCAATGGTACTCCAGAGAAAGTCTGACTCAACATTTCCTCACAGTTCGATGAGATCAGATTGTCTTGCCTCAACTGTTTTATAATTTGTTCTAGGGATTTTACTTTTTTATTCAGGCATCGAAATTTCTGCTGAGACACTTTCAATTTCTTCTTTAGTAATGTTATTTTTTTTTCTCTTTTGTTTAGAATTTTCTTGCGTGGAGATTCATGGTCAGGAGAAGCACGGCCAGGAGGAGCATGCTCAGGAGAAGCATGCCCAGTGGAAGCATGCTTAGTGGGAACTGAATCCAGGCAAGGCTTTTTAAATGGTGGTCCTTCATCAACTTCATTGTCAGGTGCAGCAACTGGAAATTCTTGAGGATCGGGTGTAGGCATATCATCCTTTACTTTGTTTTCTTCTACCATTTGCACCTTTTGAGATTCCACTCTTGGAGTTGGTAGCTTGCGTTTCTTTACAACCTGCAAAGTGTTGAAATTACCACTATATTCTGTTATAAAGAATTGTCCTCAATTTGCAAGATTTTTTAGGGCAAGTTACACCCTCCCTCTCACCAGTCTGATTGCAAATAAAACATATATAAAAAGAGAATGGGACATATTGATCTTTATTGTGTCAATGCTTTGCATATGTAAATTTAGTTATTTACCTTTTTTAAATGTTGTGGAAATTTCTTAAATCTGGTAGGTACTGCATCAGGTTTAAGCCTCACATTAAGTAGTCCTGTACGATCAATATTACTTTTTTTGAAGTGGTCAGAACAGATAACAGAGGAATTGTTTGGTAACCAACCATCCCGGCGAATGTTCTTGATCCACTGCTTTTTTCTTTCTGGATTAGATGGAAAACTAAGAACAAGATTATAATTTTGAATAACAATGCATACTGTAATTTGTTAAAATACACAAACTTCTGTTATTGCTGTTTTCCAATGGTCACCCGTCGATAAATATGTCATACCCTCAAGTTTTTAATACCTCAAGTCTGGACTTGAGCTGGGCCAAACTAACAGCAGGTTTCATATTTATTAGTCCAATATCTCATTGAAGACACTTCTCCAAAAAAGACTTGCAGTGTCTGGATTAGAGAAGTTTGGCTATGTGTATTTTCATGCCACCATGATATAGTCTGTATAAAGCTTCATAAAGTTGTATGATATTGTTGTGTTAGTGTCATTGGAAGCATGATAATTGCAACATGCATTGTTTGCGTAATGTTTTAGTAGTTACATTAAATTTGAGGAATATTCTGGTGAATATTAAATTGTTCAAATTAAGCTGCTACAGTTAATAATAATAAAATTGTAATTGGCATTGGTTTTTCAGTTCATTGTTACTACTACGACTATTGACAGCACTTACTAATGAAATGTTCTTGCAAATTTTCGTTTACTAAACGATTCCTCATCACTACTCCCTTCACTGTTACTCCTATCAGTAGACTTTTCTCCAAATTTCCTTCGTTTTGAACAGCCAAACGCGCAACACTGTGATCCACGATGTTTCCCCATCATTTAGAAGGCACTTTTGGCGCGAGAAAGACAAGTATGTCTCCGCTCTCGGGTATTCACATAAACTTATCAATTTGACCTACCCAACAAAAGTCATTTTCATTATGCAAATGCTAAAGGGCTATGGAAAACTGGGCTTTCACTTAGATAGTCAGTTACCAATAACCCTTCCAATCCTTACCCGATTACTTATGGTTGCTTCACAGTGTATTACCACTACATGTGATCAATGCCACTTTAAAGCCATGTGTGCTCTGGCATTCTTCGTCTTTCTACGTATTGGCGAACTAACTTCAACATCAAAGCAATCTCCTATTCCACTACACTTAAACCAACTCACCAAACTCTTAAGAGATGGTGAAGTAATTGGTTTTAAAATAACCTTCACTGACTATAAACACAATTACAACCCACGCCCGTGTTCCATGGCCATTTATCGTCAGCCAACCCCCAAGCCTTGCCCTGTACAACTTTTGAGCAATTATTTGACCCGCCGTGGCAATTCTCCTGGGCCAATTTTCATGACTCCTGTGGGGGCGACGGTGCCGACCTCAATCCTACGGTTTATAAATCTCACAGTTTCCGAATTGGCGCAGCATCATTCGCAGCTGAGCAGGGCTTGTCTGATGCACAGATTCGCATCTTGGGTCATTGGAAGTCCAATGCATTTCACAAATACATTCAAGTTTCAACCCTTACAGCGTCATAAATTATAGATATTTAACCCTCCCCCGGACAACAATGTGGGGTGTTGTCTGGTGGAGGCTTTAAGGGTGGCAGGGCGATGTTGTCATACAGGGGCTGACAATACCTTTCTGCCACGTTTTTCTTAGGTTTGCCCAATTATTGTTTGGTTGTGCAACTCGCTTTGTGCTATACACTTAAGGCTTGTTTCAGCAGTTAGCAAGGGCAGCTGCCATTTTTTCCATAATACTCAGTTTAATAATGACAAGACAGTTAGCAGGGGCTACTGCTATCACGTTGTAAAACATGTTTCAGACAGCTTGCAAGGGCGGCTGATCAACGACTTCACTAGGTATACATTTATACCAGTTTCCATATATCGAGTATGCTAGTTTTGGAGCAGTCTGCAAGGGCGACTGCCTTCAATTTTCATAATTTTTGAGGTTTATATCTTGTGACGGTCTTTCAGAATTTTCTAATATGTAAAGTAATACGTGTATGGTTGAGGCCATGTAGCATGCACTTTTGATTCCTCCCTCGATGCTTACGGCGAATTGCAAAGCCTTTGGCGTATATTCCTGCCACCTTTACCGGCTATAGAACACTTATATAATCAATCTAGACTTCAGTATTATTTTGATGTCAGAGAATATGTTATTTCATTAAATATTTTCAATAAAGCGGCTATGAACTAAATTCATAGCCAAAATTTTTCCCATAAAAGTGTCGTCTAAAATTTTGTGCCTGCATGCCAGTAAACCAAGCTCGGTTAATACAATGCTGTTTGATCCTCATAAACTCGAAAGGTAAGGTGGAGACATAAATAGAAATATTTCCCACGAAATATGGGTTTTTATGTCACACCTGGACTAATTAGATAAGTGAGTAACAATTTAATTATATTTAATGTTAATCCCTGGCGCGCCTGTTGAAGAGGGAGGAAATTTAGAGCACTTGAAACTACGTAACAGCTGGGCCAAGATCAAGGTCGATCTCTTGGTATTAAACCAAGATAATTTAGATATTTTGCAAGTCTCCAATATCAGTGGTCAAGTGAAGAAGAATATGTTATTTCATTAAATATTTTCAATAAAGCGGCTATGAACTATATTCATAGCCAAAATTTTTCCCATAAAAGTGTCGTCTAAAATTTTGTGCCTGCATGCCAGTAAACCAAGCTCGGTTAATGCAACGCTGTTTGATCCTCATAAACTCGAAAGGTAAGGTGGAGACATAAAAATATATAATACCGTTTTCGAGGAAAAATAATTGTTATCAACGCAGTGTTCATTTGGGCATAAAATCTTTCCCAAATGTCCCGCTCGATGGGCAGGCCTTTCAATTTCATCGAGTATAGTACAGCAATTTCCTCATTTGCATCCTCATGTCGGCCATGTTTGTTACAAATTCTGCCAGGCGCTTCGTTTCCTGCGTCCTCCCCAAGCACAGCCACGCGCTCGCTCAGCTTAGCCACTGATCTATATAAAAACACTGTAGTGTGCCTATTTTTAGTTATTTGCGCCTGGGTACGAGGCTGGTATGACGTGGTGATGTGATATAAGTTTTATAAGTTAAGTTTTGTGGTCCAATATATATTTTGTGCAAAAAAAAGAAATATTTTCACCGCATAATCCAATTATGTGCCTTGGCAAACATTACTTTTTTATAACTACTAATGATGACGCCAGCCCAATAACACTTGGTCATGCTATATGCAAATATTTTCATGTTCTAGATTGTAAAAACAATCAATTTCTAAATCAAATCAAATCAAATATATTTTTGCCACAGAAAATAACAGTATAGAAAATATACAATTAAGGAATTATAAAAAGCAAGGAAGCCCAAAAGAAACCAAAACGCTTATAGAGTTTGGACTACCTTTTACATTCTAATAAGGCCGAAGCTCATTTAAAATATGAAATTAACACTACCGCTCTGACAATAAATAATTCACACGTGAAGAAGACAGATATCAATAAGTTTCAAATGCACAAAAGTAACATACACAAATCACCTACACAAGTAACATTTATCAGTTATAGACCTGAAACGAGGGGTATTCCACAAAAAATTACCCTGAGGGATGAAATATTCCGAGGGCGAAGCCCGAGGAATATGTCATCCCGCAGGGTAATTTTTTGTGGAATACCCCGAGTGAAAGGTCTATAAATGGAATTGCAACATTTTTTAATATCATAATTTATGCAAATTTATGCAAATTTATTACTAAATTAGTAAAGCACAAAATTGGTAAAAAAACAAACAAATGGCTGCGTGCAAAAAGTGATGATTATATATCAACCCGGGTAACTCAAACCTTCAGCCCGGAAAAACTAATTCTTGCCATGTAATCACGCTCGGTATCTTATTGGATTTTATTGCTAAAGTCAGGCTGAAATTTCAGTCTGGAAAACTGTGTAATTAGCCCCATTCTTATAGATACATGATAATAGCAATGTATTAAATCTAAAGTGTCTATTTAATTTATTCATATTGAAATATAACTGTGTAGTCATGTTCGAGGCATATTAAATGAACATTGTCAAAGCCATAGCTGTGAGTGTTGCTAACAATGGCCAAGTCTTTGGGTTTGGAGTGAGGGGTCACACTTAAAATCACAAGGAAACTTAAGGATAATTATAATACCCACATAGTGAAGTGGCAGTTGCCACGAATGAATTTTCGGTAGGACCACCAACTATACGAGGCCCCTAATTTGCTGATGGATAATATACATGCACAGACATATATAAGGACAAGTCATAATACAGTAGTGTGAATGGTAAGTGTACTTTGCTAAGAAAAAATTGTTTATATATATGGTGTATATGTTTGACTTTACTGCCATGGTAATATTTGAAGTCCTACAGCCTTTGATTCAGCTATTTGCTTTGCCTACCGTACAGTATATAGCCGCTGCTATACACTGCTTGTGTTATTGTATGGAAAGGTACAACATAATCTGATCGATAAATTGAGGAGCACCACAGGTTGCAGCACACCACCATAAATTATTGGATATTGCCTTGCTCTTCAAATAATCAAATGACTTTTTTTGTGCCTTCTTGAATAATTTCTTTGTTACCCATTTTGACAAATGCCAGACATATTGGTGTTTGATGTTGGGGTAGACACTCTTCATCTTAGCTGTAATTGTGGTATGCCTATCAGTTCTTAATAAGAGAATTTGATGTTCTTTTGCATCCTTCATACTCCATTGCGTTTGACGAGAGGTTGCTTCAGTCACTTGAACAACACTAAATTCAATAACTTTCTTGGTACTTTCGTCCATAATAGTGTACATGCCATATTTTGCTGAGTGGCCAGGGCTGTCACACCGACCATCACACATATATCAAATTTTTAGCCTTCTTTAATAATTTCACGTTGACTTGATTTCCATTTACTATCAAACCACTGGGAGTAAATATTTTTTTTTGATTTTGTAGAAACTGGAGGAGCTCACAATCTGCATGTTAAGAAATTTTATATGTGTTGGTAAGTATTACCACTAAACAGGATGGCTGCAGGAATTAACAAGTTACCTGCCGCTGCTCCATTTGTCAAAGGCTGATTGCCATGTATTTGAATGTCCACATAGGCATATGGTTTTGATTGTCACCATGCTTCCTTCACAATGCTCTGTTTTATTCATAATGTTTCCACCTTGATGACAGAATAGAAATAGTTTATTAAGCTTACTTTCAAAAGAAATCCTTTTTTTTCTTCAACAGGGTTAATATTTTCATCCTCATTTTTGGTATCTTCACTACTGCTGGAAGGAGAATACATGGGATCATCTTCATAACAATTGCTATCCAAGTCATCATCACTGCTGTGTTTCATCTGGCTCTGGATTGTGTTAATTTTGGTTGCTCAGTATATAAACTATGATTTTCCATTTGATCAACATGACTTTCTCGGGTCTCAATTGCCTCTGGGAATAGTGGTGGAGATTGCAATGGTGCTGCTGAGTAATTATGCTCATCAACCAGGTGATCTTGATATGCGGAAAAGTACTGGCACTAGTTGTCAAATAGAAATCCATTTTATGATTAAAACAACTGAATATCTCCTGTAATATACTTTATTTCGATTCCATATTTTTGTCAGAGCTATAGTTCTCATAACCAAACATAATTACAAAATTTCAACTAGTTTCATAAAGAATAACGAAAGATATAATTGACTGAATATATCAAAATGGATTTCTATTCGGACAACCCTTTCTGAGCGCTGATTGGCTAAAATACGAACACGAGATCACCTGGAAGTGTTTTGCAATCAGAATGATTTGTCGATGTGGTTGGACATTCTCCAGCAGTGGCGTAGCTAGCGGTCCTGCTTGTCCTGCCCAGCAGGACTAAAAATTTCCCCAAATTTTCTTACTAAAACATTGCTTTAAAACATACTAAAACATTGCTTGAAGCTTTAAAAATTTATCATTATCATATTGTTATTTTGTCTCATTTTCTCGTCTTTTTCGTTATTATTTTTTAAAAAGTTTTTCGCATTCTGTTATATTTACGCAATTTTATAGCTTTGCCGTGTCTGTTACCTAGCAACTGCAACTCTACATTGATTTTCACACGACTCTTATTTCAGTCCTGCCATTTTCAAATGGCAGGACTTGCTAGTATATTTCATAGTAAATTCATACAAGAAATCTTGGTTTCTGATTGGATAATTAGGTCTGCGCATGCTCAAACCGACTGTTTACAAATGCGAAGTCCTGCTCTATCGAAATGGCAGGTCTTGGCCTTGCATTGTCTTTACTTGCGAGCTTTCCGCATGACTAAACCCACTTTTTACTAATTGTGTCGAGATTACTCAAGTTATGAATATGGAAATCAACGAGTGTGGAAGCCCAATGTGATTTTGATATAATTTCTGGCTTCTGCTAAGATATTTTAGCTCACGAAATGCATGTGAACAGACTCGACTGATGATTGTGTATTTTTATACAAACTTCATTTGTGAAGCCTGTACGTCGTAATGTCGTATTGATATAAAGTAAGAACGTAATATTTACTGCCAGTTCATCTTCTTTGTGCATTTGAAACGAGCACTTATATGGAGTTTAATTTTAAAAATGATATATTGTACCAATTCACACTGTTTTATAGGTAGATATTTGGCCGCATAGACGATATGCATAGCGTACTGAATTACATTCAGAGTGCCAGGCATAGTGATCTGTAGTTGATACCACTCCATTATATAAAGTTTAACACATTACTAACAAACGTAGTGAATTTTTAACGAATGCTAGCCGTAGCGTTTTTAATATAAGTGTGGAAAACGCCGTGTTCACGCAACCGCATGATCAAAACAAAACAAAATTTTCTTTTTAAAAAAAAGCTATTTCTGAAAGGTTTCTAATGGGAAAAAGTGTTGAATAATACTTCATTTTGAGTGCCAAATTACTTGCGAGTCTATACAGCAATTCTACATATGATACGAATACCCCTAGACCAAAAAATAGCTACGAAACAATGTGTTTTAATGTTTTTAAAATATACATTGTCAACTGTAAAACATTTGCAAAATTGCATACAAACGTTTAAAAAGTTGTTTATTTCTCAAGAAAACGTTCACGTTTTTAGTCGTGTTTCTACAAGATTAAAGTGATCATATGTAAACAGAAAAATATTTCAGTTTCATAGCCTAATTGTTCATTTTTAGCAAAAAGTACAAAACCAAACATGAAACAAAAAAAACATGTCCACCTGTTAATAGGCTGTTACAGCTCATAGATTGAGTAAACGGCAGGATTCAATTAGCTTCAACCTTGTTTTCATCGATTTAATCCTTCACAATAATCCTTGGCTGTCCATAGCACTCAAATAAATCGAAAAGTTGACAAAAACAAAACAGTAAAAACAACATTGCGGCTCGATTTTGCTGAATGAAAACTCGTTCTGTGCCCGCGTACAATCTTTTACTAGTCAGCGACGCTTTTCAATAGGGGAATTTCTCGAGTTACACGAGGCTATCTTCTAACTTTATTTGCATTTTACTCATTAGTTTCATCGGTGACCTATCTTCAAATTTTGACCATGAATTTATTTTGCGGTAAATTTTATCAATTTCAAATTTTAAAAAAATCTGTAGTGTGGAAATTTCACAATAAATTTTTCGCTTTTAAAAAAATCACACACTACAGAATTTTGTTAAACTTTCACCAGAGTTGCAGAGCATCATTCCGTATTGATATATGAAATAAAAAAGATAGGTCACCGACATCGTTTTTGAGATAGCGGCACATTTATGGGTTAAATTGGAAGGCTTTATGCTGTCGTCATGTTGCCATGGGAACATTGACATCGTCCAAATCTAGTTCGAAATATTCCTTAGGTGACCAATATTGCCACCAAGTCGAAAAGAATGCGCGTTTTGCACGAATAAGCCTGTTTTACGGAATTGTTGCTTAAACAAGAATAACTGTAGGGAGCCACCTTAAGTTGAAAAATATATAGTGAAATATGATAAAAAAATGCATGGATTTCAAAAAGTTGCAAATTTTTTTTCTAAAAAAATTATCAAAAATTTTCCACTAATCACGCAATTTTTGGATGTTCCCTTTGGAGTATTTCGCCGTGAAATCGCAGGAAATGGCCATTCCAGACTTCTAAAATTCAAAATTTCCCAGGGGAGCATACCCCCGGACCCCTCTAGCATGGGTGGGTCTTAGAGCAGGACTAGTCAAATTTCACTAGCTACGCCACTGTTCTCCAGCATGAGTTAAAGTGTTAGAATCAGTTTGAGTTTTTACAGATCTAAATGTTTTCACATTTACAATACATGTTTAAACACCAATTTCCTTTGTGTCTACTTTTGTTTTATCAGGTTCAGTAAGATTACTTTCTTCACATATCATTCCATCATCATTTGTATAGTCAGGATATGAAGGACTATTGTCAGTACATATCTCTTCCACATTATATGGATGATGATGATCAGCAACATTCACATAATTACTTTTATGACATATATCCATGATAGGGCCCAGCATGAAAGAGCTTTCTTCTGACCTTTGGCTTTTATCTTCTACTTGTTTATGTACTCGATTTGGAACCTTTATGATACATATATAGTTATTTTCATTACCAATATGAAGTCAAACATTCTTACTATTATCTAAATTATTACTATTGCAGGGTGTTTAGAACAATGATTTACTTTCCGTAGGCCATGCGCATGTGACCCTTCGCTCTTTACCTGTGAATGTCTGAAATACGTTTTAATAACCTTCTGCATAAGTTTTAATACTGATTAGAGGTGAGCCGATGTCTAAAAAAAGCCAATTACCGATACCGATTGTTAACAGCTGATATTTACCCACCATTGGCCGATTAATTGGTAAAACCGATGGTCATCATAATTTCTTTTTACTAATGCATCCTCTCGTCACAACATGCAAAAACAGGAAGCGACATTTTTAACACTGATTCTGAAATCCACAGTGTGCTACTGACTGGTCAACAGAAATTATGGAACACGATAATTTAATTAATAAATCTTGCAGAAAAGTGAGAAAACAACTATGAAAAAACGCGGAAAATCGGTAAACATAGTGTTTCCACTTTCGTTTCGATAATTGTTTCCACACCGAATATTTGAATTTCATCTTTTTATCATACCGCTGACCATACAATTGGAAGACAATCAGCCGATGGCCGATTGTGAAAAAAACAAGCCGATTAATCGGTTTCACTGATGTTTTGCCGATGATCGGCTCACCTCTAATACTGATAATTACTGCTCTCAATTATGGCTAAAATTAAATGATATCTTAATATGTACAAGACTTTTGAACCTTTTACAACATGACAAAAACCGTATAGGCATAGACCATATAAATGGCTATGAAGCATATTAATTTGGAGAACAACATGTTTACTAAGTATTAACATGATATTATAATAAACTAATCCGTCAATAAGCATGGAAACATGAACAAAAGCGTAAAACAAATAGTTTTAGGTGCGTTTCCAGACACTGTTTTACAGGTACTATACCAAAACACACATAGTTACGGGAACCACCGAGTATTTTTATAAAATACCAAAGGACAGTAACTCCAAATAACATTTTGTAGCTACAAAATGTTATTTGGAGTTACTGTCCTTTTGTATTTTATAAAAACACACATTTTCAGGTCATATCTTTATAACAAAAATGTTTTATAAACATTCAATACCAAAATGTTTTAAAAACGTTTTATAAACAATAAAAATGTTTTATAAACATTCAAAGAGAGCTTTCGCAAATTTGCCTTAAACTAGATGAGCGTGGAGGGAGTTTTTTCTTTGTGTATTCAAACAGTGTTGGAATTGCTGTTAGTTTTAACATTTTCGGCTTTTTTCTACCACATATTTCTGTAGCGGGAATAAAGCAATCAGGTGTAAAGTGAATACTACATGCAAATGAGTTGTTCAACTTTAGCGGGTTGTCCCTCTAGATATTTTGCAACCAAATGCTTTTAGTTGGACCACTTGGCACTCTATGATATGTTATGTCAGAGCCTTTAGTTTTTTTCCAACTGTTTGTACATTTGGGAACCATACAGTGCGGCATTTTTGCTAATTTCACAGTCGATTGAACACAATTAAACACTATTTTAATATGATGAAAGGTTTTGAAGTTTCCCGCCAAGCACTCAGTGATGTCATTTTTTGAGAAACCGCTGGCCTTAGCTGGCCTTACATGTCTGCATGAGAAAGACAACATGGCGTCATTATACAAGGGATTTTACAAACTTCGATAAGCAATTTCTTCTTACCTAAAAAGAATTGTCCTTTCAAACTTCGTAAGTAACCTAATGTAAGTAAAGTCTCTTGTTTGCACCTCGATATATTTTTAGTGGAGTGTTCCTTTAAGTAGATAGATACACGGTGGGCAAAAAAGACAGCAAAATTCGGCCACATACAAATAACTTTCTGTCGTTAGTATGGAATATCACAAAACTTCCTCACAGGATAGAACCTGACATTCCTAAAAATCCTATCATTTTTGTTTTTCGATTTTGTTACATTTTGGCGGGAAAATGACGTGCTAACTTTGGCGCCAAAAAATTTAACTTGGGCTAACAACATGCTAGGAACTTTTTTGAAGAGATTGTCCCATAAGGATCTCAAAACTGTAAAAACATTGAAAATATGCCAAAGCAGTGCAAAGATATGGTGCTTAAAAGTCTGAAAAATCCTCCATTTTGTTACTGAAAATAGATTTTTTTCAAACTTTGAATCGCCCTATCTTCAAACAACCTTGTTGTATTTTTACAGTTTTGAGATCCTTATGTGACAATCTCTTCAAAAAAGTTCCTAGAATGTTCTTAGCTTGTGTTTAATTTTTTGGCACGTCATTTTCCCACGAAAATGTAACAAAATCGAAAAACAAAAACAATACGATTTTTAGGAATGGCAAGTTCTATCCTGTGAGAACAGAAAGTTATTTGTATGTGGCCGAATTCGCTGTATTTTGTGCCCACCGTGATACACTGTATTAGTACCAAGTAGCATCAGACAATTTTCCCCACATTACCTACACATACTGATGAAGAAACACAACTTTAGGCAAAAAGAGGAACCGTTTGTACATTGGTTTGTGTTCCGTAATATGAAACATAAACTATTATACCGGAGACGAATTTTATATATCGTCTAGAGCTATTCAACGGCAGTACTAATAGTTCCAATTGTTATTTGACAGCTAATAAAATTATCACAATCGTTCCTTTTAAATATTGAAGTATATAGACCAGTTAAAATATACCCAAAAAATTGTTCTAACAGTAAGAAATTTAAAGCCAAATACATGGTCTTTCCGATTATAAAATAACACGACACCATTTCGCATTCACGCCAACACCACTGGAAAAACGAAGCCTGCGCTTCCGGGAACAAAACGCATAGCAACCGACCACCGTGCTGCAAACAATGTTTTACAGAATAATTTCAACAACAACAGAAAACTGCAAATAAGTCTGAAGTTCATTCTAAAATGTTTGTAATAAACAGTCCATTAATTAAACACTACATTTACTTAGTGGTTTCCAAAATATGCATTACAGAATACCGTGTTGTATATCTCGAAAAGATCCTTCTCAGAAGGAAGTGTAATATTAGACATGAAGTCCCCCACATGACAAATAGAATGCATTTGTGCAAGTGTTTGCCGTTGGGAGAAATTACCACTTATTTGACGAATTAGAGGTAACAAATATGATTGATAGCACAGCCCCAAAGTCAAGAACAGGTTCTTTGTCAGTTCCAGTTGCAAATTGTAAGATATGATCAAGGGTAACATTATCTCGTTTATCACCACCTGCTTCTTGTGCATACTTACAAAACAATGCATATAGTTGGTTTTCAATGTGTCATTGATTACTTCCTTCAATTCCCAACCAACCTCTCAATTGCCACAGCTTTGGTGAAATCAACTGTAAAAGCTTGTGGTAATATGGTAAATAATATCTGCACAAGACTAAAATCCGCCTACAACAAAGGTGACGATGCTACCAGTCTGTTGGCAGAATACATAAGAGAAAACAGTAGAAGAAACAATTACATAAACATTCTTGTGAATATGTATGAAGCAGAAATACAAACATTAAAGTAAAGGGACATACAAATCCAAGTCAATTAACTGAACAACAGAAAACTACCATCAAAAGTGAAATGAGATTACTTGAGGACATTTGACAGGATTCACAAGAACATTATTGGTAGTTCCATTTTGGAATCATCTGGCATCTAAATCCTATGCTGTTTAAAGTGCCTATATCACTTGTGGGATCTTTACGGATTTGAAAAGAGTGCAAAAAGTTATTTCACAAGTTCTTCAACCTTTTTTGATTTAGTTCAATAGTTTCTGAGATATAGGCCCTCAAACATGGCAATTTTGACATTTTTGGGAAAAAATCTGTCATACTTAATTTTGCTTGGGGGCCTGGGACTCAGGAACGTGAGCATAAACAAACACCATAGATTATATTACAATTTGCTATAACTTACTAAAATGATCATTTTGGCAAGAAAAGTCAGTTTATTTAGCTCAAAATCGTCTTCCAGTACTGACAAAAGTTCATATACGATTGCCCTAAATATAAAATTGTGGTGAAACGCAGAAAATCAAATTTGAAAGTGAGCCTTCCTAAATGTCATCAAGCATTGCCGAGCATGAAAGAGTTGGCAATAGACTGAAGAATACAGAAAACAGGGATGTAAAGAAATTATTTATAGATGGAACGGGCACAATCGTGTTAGTTCTTGGTAAGTGAATCGAATATTTTCTATTTGTAAATATCATGTGATAGTCACATTCAAATGGCAATTAATATTCTGCGACTGCAAGTAAACAAACGAAAAATTATGTGTATTTTAGATTCAATACTAATAGCTTAGCTATTGAAAAACACTATAAAATTTTATATAGACACGTGATAACCGGTTTGATTTGGCCATTCACAAAATATGCAGGATTCGGTTTCCCTCAATTGCTTTTGATCTGATCATTTGAAAACCTGTGTTGCACAAACATGTGGTATAAGCTACTGATTCAAAGGAGAAGTAATTTTTGAGGTCTTAACTTATTATTTTTATAAACTTTGGACATATTCAGTGTAAAAGGGCCATGCAAAGTTCCTGTTTATTATAGGAATAGGTTAATGCACCTTGCTAATGTCCAAGGCAAAGCTTGAGCTACACAGATTACTGTGTCTTGAGTACTGTAACAGATCACTAGTTTGCCTCATGAAGGCAAGTAATACATTACTAGAAAATACATGCGTGCAGAAACCCTCGCCTTGCTGACAAAACCATTGTATTTTCTGATCATGAAGTATCTAAAGTAGTTTTCATGGTAACACGATAATTTTTTAAGAATATTCTTACAAATGAAAAATCGCCTAAAAATATCACTTTTAATTACAAAATTATCAATTTCCCAACATATATATGTTAGGTATGATATTATACGTAATATAAGCTTCAATTTAAGGTAACATTCAACCACATACGCTTCGCAAAACGTTTTAAAGTGTTCTTTATAAAACTAAGCTGCCTTTATTGCTTTAAAGTGCCTCTAACACAATTTTTTTATTTATTCTATGGACTGTTTATTTGTAATGTTTTAGTCCAAAAATTTTTGAATTTGAATGAATCGTCTAAATTTTATGGCGTGTTTAATGTGGCATAGCGTGGCAGAAGGCCGTCGTAGTCGGGGAAACTGGGACTAGCAATTTTTCTGACGTCATGCAAGGTAGTCTGTATTTTGCTTTGATCATCTTCGATCTTGCACATTCCTGTTTGAAAATCACAATTTGACACACTACGAGTACATCTCAGGACAAAACACAAAATTTTACAGAGAAAATTTCGCGATTATGTCTGGTCAGGAGTCCGATTCGGCGAGCAGTTGTCAGTATAGTGATGACTCCGACATAAACTTTATTCCGGGTTATATAATGGAGGATGCACAGGCCAAGAAAGACTGTGATTCTGATGAAGGTTGTTCATGCTTCGCATATGCCGAAGAACCTTTAGCTGACGAAGCCTGGTTAGAAACATACCACAGAGAAGAACAGCAAAGGCTAAAGGCTGAGGAACAGTTTACGAAAAGGCTAAACTGTTCGGTGGAAATAAGTGAATGGTAAGTAAGATCTGAATTTAATTTCACTCAGTATAAATTTTCCGTACAGTTCACACAACACCCAGGTTTTGATTCTGTCTGCTTACAAAAATGGAGTTTAAAATTAGCTGTGGACAAGTACAAAACCAAGTCCAAATCAAGATACAGTCAGGTCAAAACGCAGAACAGGTAAGGTAAAAAAAATCAGATAATTTCAAGGACTACATATTTCATACATGGCAAAACTATTTTATTTATAGCTGTATAAAAGTTTCAAATGTCACCAAATTTAAAAGTCCCCAAGTTGATTCTATTTTCTAATGTTACACACAGTGATTTGTCATTTGTGGTGTAGCTGTAGCTATAAAATTGGCCTGACTAGACAAATTGCTTTGTGTAAAATATGACAAGATGGGCTCGAAAGAAAAGAAATATTGAAAAAAATAAATAAAATTGTTTTTGATCGGTGGAAAACCAAGGTTGCCGATCATCTTGATCTGCAAGAAATATATCTGACAATTGTCTCAAAAACATGCTTACTGAACATATACTGTAAACAGAACATATCTTACTGATAAGCCAGATCCTGTTTTGATATTAACCCATTGAGAGTCGCATTGTGCCCTGCTTTATTATTTTAGTTTGTCTAATGCCAGATGATACTGGTGCTTGTTAACTGGCCTATCCGCTCATGTGTCTAGTTAACCCACTGAGTCGCATTGCGTCCTATTTTATTATTTTACTCTGTTTAACACCAGATTATTTTATTCTGTTTAACGCCAGACAATTTTACTCGTCAAGAGGAGAGCACTGGTGCTTAATGGGTTAATTGTGGTCTTCTATATTTAGATTCCTGCACAGTATCTCATATAGAAAATTTGTCAGGCTGGTTTATGGTTTTCTTGGCAACAGGAGGGTACCACTGCCATCATGTGCCTACACTGCTATTAGGAAAGCATTTCCAACTGGTAAGGATGAAGCTATCACCGGATACGCTGAAGAATCTGACTGATTTATTGACTAAATGTATGAAAGTTTCAATAAAAATTTGTTCATAAAAAGTTGTGCACCCTCATTATACTGTGTCACAACATAGGGTTTTAGGTGTAAATTGGGACGAGAAAGTCCTTTCCCCTGCCACAAATTGTCTAACTTGTCTTTATTTGTCTGTAACTAGTTTGTAACATGTACATAGTGACAAATTCATTATTATTATTAAATTAACATGCACTTTAATTAATAGTTTAATTCACATCTAAAAAACCCCTTTATTTTACAATATGAATAATAGTATGATACTATAATTTACAATATATCTGGGTTTCTACCAAAACCTTTACGATTTCTGATTTCTCGGACATTCCTTCACTTTTTTATGTCCTTTCATGGGGTTCTTGCATGTTTTGCAACACCGAACAATGGTGTTCTTTTTCTTTTTACTTGCTTGTGCCAGAACGTCTGATACTATATCAAATAATTTAAAACTTTAGCATATGTTGTTTTTAGACAAGTCATAAATACTATAGGAAGTATGGTAAGATATTGATTCAATCACAAAAGCCTGATAAAGGTAAGAGACTTCCTTAGTGAAGGCCCTTTTGTAATACCAAACTAACTCCTCCCCATCATGTAGAATGGGCCATTCCATTTAATAATTCGTTTGTGGAAGTTACCCCAGAGGATATCTTACTAACACCTTTAGTGATATAACCACCATACCCATTGGATATCCAGACCCTTCAATGGGGGGGGGGGGGGGGGGGGGAGGGGCGGTGCACATATTAAATGGATAGCCTAATTTATTCAGAGAAGCTATGTTGTAAGTGTATTGTACGTGGAGTGGTTGGTGGAACATCTTTCACAACCATTTCACTTCGGTCAGATCGTTTATTCAATGCCTCTGCCTTTGCTTGCTTATTGAACACAGAGTCCATTGGTGCAAGAGACATTTCTTTAAGTTTTACAGCAGCATCTTTCAGTTCCTTTTTGCCAGCCATCAGATACGTCAGGTAAATTTCTTGTACATATGCTGAAAAAAATGCCGCAATTCATTTCTCAAGACCAAAACCCCCCATAATACTTGAAAATAAAAACAAAACTTACAAACGTTTTGTGCAACTTTAACACTCCTAATTGTTGCTTCACCATTCTTGTATTTTGGGTAAGTGAATTTCACTCTTCCAGTGTTGTCATCCTTTTTGGTTTTGTCATCTCGATGTAGGTTGGCATTGAAATGAATGACTGCAAGAATATGTCTGAGAACAAAACAGAAACCTGTTTAATTAAAAGGGCCTACAGTTTTTTTGTTTTGCTGTGCCACCTTAAGTATTGTTTACACATTTTGCTTCGTTTCATTGTTATTACATGACGTTTGCAATTATTAGTGAACTTTATGGCTTATCAACTACAAAATGACTACATGTATTTGACCCTGTTTATATTTACAGGTAGAAAATGTAAAACAAAGATCTTCTTTATATATATTGACTGCTACCTGCAGTATTGTCCCGCATAGAAGTATGCTATCATCTTGGGGGCAAATTGATTTAAGACACTGTGAAATCCCTCAAGGCAACTTGTCTGGTCTAATGGTGAAGCCTGTTGAATGCCTTTTATCAGTCTTTGGTTGGTAAGTGCAGCAGAGACTTTCTCATAGAGCTGTGAATCTATAACATAGGATTTAAAAAGCAAGCATGCATCATCTCTCCACTCAAGGATAATATCACAAGCAATATACAGCTACATAAGAATACTATAACCAGTTTTGTTTACCAGGTTTTAACCACTTTCTGGCTGGAATGTCACTGCCATGTGCACACTTGTTGAACAGTGGATCACTGTGATCAGCATGCTTGTTCACAACATGTCGTAGAAATGATTGAAATTTTGCCGATAGGACCAACCCATTGCCATCAAATGTTGATGTTGCAATCCATTGCAGATGGTTTTTGTGCGGTTTAATCCAGTCATTTTAGGGCTTCGCAATCTTTTTCTTTAGCAATCTTTGACAACACTTTTCGTATTTCTTAAAACAGATAAAGATCTCAATACAAAATATATTTAGAAGATACAACTGTCAAAATATTAGTCAATTAGCCTTTCTCACACCACCATTTCATTTTTGGGTTGGCTTTTCACCCGAAGTCTGCAAGATAAGTCTGCATAACAGACTTTTTATAATTTTTTTGAAAAGTTAAGGTAAATTTGCTTTGTAAATGGTTAATTTATTTTGAAAAATTGCTTTTCACATTGTTTTAATTGTCTGCATTGGTTAACGACAATTAGATGCCACCCAAAAATGGCAGATATTCGTCATTGTGAGAAAGGCTAATTTACCACTGCACATGACACTAAATGGGGATTAGGTCCACTGCTATCCTGAACATTAGATGGTCTAGTACAATGGAAATTGGGAGTTCACTTACTTTTCTTAAAGTGCCAAATATCGAAATAGTGAGTAATCTTGGACAACACTGATCTTGTGTATTTAGCAACTGATATGTGTCTGTCTGAGATGAAAGTTGTAATGGCCAGCCCTTTCTTGATAAGATAGTCCATGCATGATTTAAATGACATAAATTACGTTGCAGGACTGCTTCCTGCCTGATTTCTCTGCAATAAAACAATAAGAAACAACAACTAAGCTGTATATGTTGCAATTCTCCAATCCACATACAATGAGTTCAGTGATTGGAGATAAGTTCACAGGAACCAACTTGAGTTTATTACACATCGATTGCAATTTCGTGCCTCGTTTATTCCATTTTTGGCCTACTTTATTTTCTTCAATATGTGCATTAAAATCCCCAAGCAAAATCAAATTTGTTTTATTGTTTTTATATTGCAGACAGATTTGTTCTAAAGTTTCTAATGTTTTCATGTATTCATCGAAGCTTCGGTTTGTTGAAGGAAAGTATACTGCCACAACAACGACATTTGTGTTCGCAAGCTTGAAAGACGCCGTAATTATTCGATCACTGATGTGTTCAAATACGCGTGCGTTGAGACTTTTCTTTAAAAATAAAGAAACACCCCCTTATCCCCTTCTCCAACGTTCATTCAGATTATTATCTGAGCTACTTTGTGAAAAAACCTGAAAGTCGTCATTTAAGCTGTCTAGAAAGATTAGCTCATCTGGATAGAGCCAGTGCTCGCATATTGCAAAGATGTCTAATTCACGCAGTAATTTCTTTACATAGATATAACTTCCATATATTCCGCTGCAGTTCCAACAGCCAAGCTTTAATATAGTTTGTTTATGAGCTATCTTTTGTTTCATTTTTATTTATCCAGTTTTGTTTCGAAAGCCAGGGCCTAGAATAAACATATTCTGGCCAAAAATCGTTTCCAGATACACGCTCAAAATCATCATTCTTTACATTGATTCGCACTGCAACAGTGCCTTTTCGTTTACTATTGAAAAGCCTGACAAAAGTTGGAAATATCCCTTTTTCCTGCATGTACTGTTTAATTGCATTTGTACCTTCACGTACACCGCCGAGATAAATTCGTTTAATCTTTTGCCTCTGTACTCCTACAAAATCACTTGTTTCTTTCTCAATATCTGGACTTTCTCGGTCTTCAAAATTAGTATTATCAATGTTACTATTAGCCTTATTTGATTCAATCTGCGTGACTGAGCATTCTGATTGTTGTACTTGCTTACTCAATTCAGAGCCAGTTGACTCAGGTTGACTCACATTTGCATATGATGTGCTTGAATCATTCTTTTGTTGTTTTTGTTGTATATATTGTTTAGAAGTAATTGAACAAGCTTTATTGTTTGTCCCAGAGTTAGAATTAGCTGTCTTAGTTTGTGGAACTTCCATGCAAATTATATCACTGACTGTTTGATCTTTTGATGCATTAGCCTCTGTAGACTTAACTGCGCTCGAATACAATATGTCTAAACTCCCCTCTGAACGTTCCGCATCGATTACCTCGATGCGTTTGCTTTGTTGTTTTTTAATACGTTCTAGATCTTTGCATATTTTATCAGTTTTTTGCTCAAGTTTAATAACGTTCTCAGCTTGCCCGACAAGTTTCATTTCATAATTTTCCAATTTTCCCCTCGTCTCTTCAAGGTTCGCTTTATAATTACCTCGAAATGATGCAAGTTCAGACTCGAGGGATCGAATTTTTGCTTGTTTCTCGCATAGGTTAGCCTTTAAATCGGAAATTTCAGTTTTAAACTGTGAGACAGTTTGATCAAAGTCCTCCCTTAGTTCACTAACCTTAACATCAAAATTTTCGATAAATGTCATAAGCTGCTTTGTCTCTTCTTTATCTAATGATTTTAGAATATCCTGTGTATTATCACAAAGGGGTTTTCTAAACATATCATTAAACTCTGCCGTAATTTCCCTTGAAGAGTAGAAATTAACCAAGGCTATAATATCACATGCAAGCTTTTCGTTCGCAGATCGGCCGCCAGTTCTATTTAATCGTCTTACCAGTTTCTCTTTTGGACACTCTATAATCTTACTTTTACAGTAGTCCAAGATCTTCTCCCTTCTTTTATAAAGGTTCGCTGTTTTGTCTCTAGTTAATATACCCTTCACATACTGAGTCGACTTTGCTGCAATGTCTCTCTCGGTGTCTTCGATAAATTTTAAGATTTCGCAATCCTCGTCGCTGTTTTGCCCTTCGTTAGCCACGTTTTCAACTAATGATATATCTGATATATTTCCCCAATCGTCAGAACCTAACTGTGACAGAGTTTCTGCCAAAAGTCGGCTATTTCCTCTTAAACGAGCGGAGCTCAAAATTTCATGTCCGTCCTCCATGACGGTCAGTCAGTCAGTATGTTCCCTTTTGTAACATAAGCATCCTTTTTGTAACATTTGTTCTTCCTTTTTGTAACTTAAGCGTCCTTTTTGTAACATTGTAGATCTTCTTTTTGTAACATAAGTGTCCTTTTAGTAACATAAGTGTCCTTTTAGTAACACAAGTGTCCTTTTAGTAACATAAGTGTCCTTTGAATGACTAAGTGTTCTTTTTGTAACACAAGTGTCCTCTTTGTAACATTATTGTTATAATTGTCCTTTTTGTAACATTTTTATCAGATTTCCTGTATTGTAATGGCATAGTTATATTCTGCTCTGTTTTGGAGCTAATTCAGTTTTTTTTTAATGTAAGTGCACAATGCAACTAATGGATGGCAAGATAATCCGTATACAATACGCCTTGCCAAAACGGCAATAATTTTAGCTTGAAGTGTTTGAATTAAACTTTGATTTTTTATAATAGGTCAGGAGGTTTAGGGCTTTAATACATCTAACATAAGCGGCCGATTTGTAACTACTCACCTTTGCTTAGTTTTTTTTTTCAGTCCCAAATTGGATTGGACGCAATTGCTTTACCTTACATACCAAACATTAACAATACAGAGCATCTTTAACAAGGAAAGGGGGGGGGCACCCTGGTGGTATTTAATAAGAAAATTAAGATTATAATTCTGGTGGTCTTGATATAACAGAAGAACCCAAACATTCAATGTGATTGTGTTAACTAATACACCCTTTCAGATAGTATGTAATTTGGGCTATAAAAATATTTTTGTGTGCGTGAGATTAGTTAACTCCAAGCATCTCAACCACGAAAAGGAGGCACGATAGCCAATGTGACGTACTTTTTGGAAGGGTCTATTTCAAATTTAACGATCACACAATCACACATCAAGTTAATGAGCAAATACGCATGCCAAAAGCAGAACACTAACAAAAATGTTTGCCGATATAGCAACCACATTGCTACTTGCTAGACTAGGAATAGGAAGGGAAGTAAATAGGCAAGTTGCTAGAGGCTGGTTAGAATGTTGTAAGGTAGCCAGGTGAAATAATTCTTTGTAGGTTCATGGATGGCTGGTGTAGGTCAGGAAGTTTAGTATATATATTTATATATATTCGAGGAATGAGAGGCAACACCATATAGTTACTTTTGAAATATTTCATGAACATCAAGATATTTGTTATGACACAGTTACTTCACCGCCTTAATTGCTGTTACAAGTCTATATGATCAACTAAGCCAATCGTCAGGGGTGTGTATTATAATTTGGCAGTGTTGTTTACGGTCCTAATAATATACAAAAAAAATTTCTCAACTCTGATTGGCTAAGAGCACTGTATTTTTTTCGAAATAAAGTGGCAAAAATAAGATATAGCTATTCCTAGCAGAAAATAATAGAAAAAACCCATGCAACATTTACAAGTGACAACAATGGCTGCTTCTATCAAAATTATTTATATTAAAATTTTGCATGTGACTGCATCATTTTTTGATAATATTATTAATAAGTAATAACATGGTTTCTCGTGCAACTTGTGCTTATGAGTTTTTCAAGGACTTTAAACTGCACTCCTTGATCTTCTTTGAAAATTCACTTGTGAATGTTTTTCCGAAAATGCACTCGAAACGATTACCTATACCAATATCAAGTTATTTGCGACAAGTTTTGAAGAAGCTGTGAATTTGAAAAGGCATGATATAACTGTTAGGGACTTTAACAACAGGTCTAACAGTGTGTCAGAAAGGTGCTGCAATTAACTGGCTATATCCTTACAAAACCAAATTATATGGGACATATATGGACCAACTATGGGATTGATATGGTTCAACCTATGGGCCATATATGGGAAGTATATGGGTTTGGTGTGGCCTGGTTGCCTTCATAGCATACCCATATCATGTTTTTGATATGGGTTTGATACGTATTTGGTACAAATCCATACATATCCCATATGACTTACTATGGGAAATACATGGGTTCCTTATACCATTTCATAACAACTTTGCTATGGGTAAGATAAGATTCTATATGGGAATGATCTGGGAACGTGATATGGAATTCATATGGTTCTTGATGTATAAAATATGGGATTGATATGGTTCAACCTATGGGCCATATATGGGAAGTATATGGCTTTGGTGTGGCCTGGTTGCCTTCATAGCATACCCATATCATGTTTTTGATATGGGTTTGATACATATTTGGTACAAATCCATACATATCCCATATCACTTACTATGGAAAATACATGGGTTCCTTATATCATTTCATAACAACTTTGCTATGGGTAAGATAGGATTCTATATGGGAATGATCTGGGAACATGATATGGAATTCATATGGTTCTTGATGTATAAACTATGGGAATGATATGGTTGCAACAATTATCATATTATATTGGGAATGGTATGGGCACTTGTTTTCATCCCATACCAAACCCATGTTAACATCTAACATCCAAATGCTAGATGCTAACACGTGTGGGTTTGGTATGGGATGAAAACAATTAAGTGGCCATACCATTCCAAATATACTTGCTACAGCTCAAGAAAATTGTACTGGTGGCATACATAGTTTTATTAACATGCAAAAAATCTTCAAAAACACAATACACAAATAAATAACATAGTTAATAAGTAAACAAATAATTACAAAATTGCTAACTAATTTACTATTTCTTAATGAACTTGCAAAGTTTGTCTAACTAAATTACCATGGTATAACTATATATACAAACATGCAATAATGTCAATTGCTAAGTGCTTATTGATCTATACAGGGTGTATCAAAAAAAGTACGACAATTTTGAAATTGCTCTCAATTCCACAATTCTGTTCATGAAATGTAATTTTTGCTATATATGGATTGCTTGAGTTCTTAAATTATGGAAAATATAAAAATTTTTAGAAAATAGCAAATTTTGCTATCCAGGGGGGTGGTCAACTTTTGCTCTCCTAAAAGTGGCTTGCGCACGGAAATGACAAACGGTATTCTTTATTTGAGTTTATGTATGAAAAGTTCGCTATTTGTTGCATTTGTGATAAAATTTCGGCAGGATTTTACCGAATACAAATCCTCCAAAAAGCCTATGAAAACGTTACATTTTTCTCTGTTGGTGCTGTTCTGGCTTCATTATGAATTCATTTTTACTCCCATGAGAGTTCCGTGGAATTTCCATGGAATTTGTGCTTTCGAGTTGTTTGTGCTGAAACGCATTCTCTCGTATAATACCCCGTACACTTTGAAATGGCGATGCCACAATTTACTCCGCAGCAGAGAGCTTTTATGGTATCAGAGTTCCTCCGTAGCAACAACATAAACTTGGTTCGCCAAAGTTCACGAAAGAATATCCAGATGCATGTACGATGCCCTTCACGTGCGAATACATGAAGGCATCGTACATCTGGATATTCGTTCGTGAAACTTTGGCAACAAGGGCCACAAGTTTATCAGTTTCTAACTGTCGCGTGTTACCCTCAGTAAATAAAGCCTTTCACTTCACTTCACAACCAAGTTTATGTTGTTGCTACGGAGGAACTCTCTGCTGCGGGGTAAATTGTGGCATCGCCATTTCAAAGTGTACGGAGTATTATACGAGAGAATGCGTTTCAGCACAAACAACTCGAAAGCACAAATTCCATGGAAATTCCACGGAACTCTCATGGGAGTAAAAATGAATTCATAATGAAGCAAGAACAGCACCAACAGAGAAAAATGTAACGTTTTCATAGGCTTTTCGGAGGATTTGTACTCGGTAAAATCCTGCCGAAATTTTATCACAAATGCAACAAATAGCGAACTTTTCATACATAAACTCAAATAAAGAATACCGTTTGTCATTTCCGTGCGCAAGCCACCTTTAGGAGAGCAAAAGTTGACCACCCCCCTGGATAGCAAAATTTACTATTTTCAAATTTTTTTATATTTTCCATAATTTAAGAACTCAAGCAATCCATATATAGCAAAAATTACATTTCATGAACAGAATTGTGGAATTGAGAGCAATTTCAAAATTGTCTTACTTTTTTTGATACACCCTGTATAAATGTATCAGTAT